CGCACCCTTTATTACCTCCCTCCTTTTTTTAACCGGTTTTAAATTGTCCAATTCATATCTGAATGATTGTAGAATATACTGTCTGAACTTGAGCAGGTCATTATTTGAAGCAGGAGGGAATTATGTTTACAAAGCATTAATTCTCCACTAACTTCTCGTGACCTCATAGCACTCAGTACTCGTCTCGTGGGCACAAGTGACTTCAGCACGTTACTGCCATCATTCTTGAGATTTCCTGGAGCCAACACAAAATAATTTCCCTAGATGTCACTAAGTCACCAAAAAAAGTAATCCTCTTTCTTTTAATGTCCCACACAGGAAACAGAGGGGCAATCAGGTAAGAGCTATGTATTTGCCTCTCAAATACATTACATAATAACATGGCTCCAGCTTAAGAATAGAAGATTTAGAAAACAATATAAAAGGACTAAACCAAAATGTAAGTGCATCTCAGTCAAAATGGATGTGACATCATTCAAATCCCTCTAGGGACAATTCCATTTGGAAGCAGGGATGTCTGGCCAGGGCTCACACAGATGAAGGTCAGCTGGGCACTAGAAGGTGGCAACTTAACGCTTGCTGAAATTCACACAGACAAGCAAAGAACAAAGCAAGTCCTCTCAACACCTTACGGATTTCTCTCACCAGCCTTATTGACTAAAGCATAATAACCTGCTTGCGCTGGTATTTGGCAAAGGACCATTCTTCAACAGACCACATTCAAAAGAGCAGAAATGCTCTCACAAATCTTGACATTATTGCTAGACACAAAGAATATATTTGCAGAAGGAAATAATGTCAAAACCAAAGCAGCAGGAATATGTAAGCTTTTATCAGCAAGTGGGAATGGAGCTTCCATGGCTCAGGTGCAAATAAGGACACCAGAAGGAAAGGTCAAAAGAATGTTTGTTCCTGGACAGAGAACTAAGGCTTCCCACCCAAATGGTAGCTTTCTCAGCTGCCCGTTCCAGTGAAAGCATCTAAATTTTGTTGCTGAAAGTTCATTTTCTCAAAGAGCTTGTATAGCAGAAACTATAGCCTGGCAGTGATCTGCATGGAGCCCACAGCAAATACCCACTTGAAGATAATCTCTAATAGTTGCTTTTACAGGTACCCAACGGTTATAATGCAAAAAAAAAAAAAAAAAAAAAAAAGAGTATGTGGTACTTAAGACAGTTACTCCTGCTTTAAAAGCAGCAGTAATTTAAGCTACTGGAGAAAAGAAGGATGCATAGTAACTTTCTCCCTAAAATCAGATGGTAAAAGGGCAGTGCCTTATATAACAGAGATGAAGTGCATATAGCTAAGTCAACAGAAGGATCGAATAAATAATCTCGAATAATACAATTTGATAAGAAACCCTAATTCTTTTCAACTAAAGAATTTGGCATATGTTCTATACTTGTTCACACTAAGAGGAAATTGTCCTGAACATAGAATTCAACATCTGTGAGATTTAAACTTCTTTATAATGAACTCGATCCCCCATTCCAAGCCTTCTAGCTTAAAAAAAAAAAAAAAAGTCTGCAAGATTTATTTGCCCATGAAGAACAAAAAGTACTAAGACAAGGAGAATAACTTAAATAAAACACATCCCTCCACCTCATGGCCAGCAGCAAAACTGAAATTTCCTTCTGAATGAAGAATGACTCTGTGAAAGACTTTAACAAAAACAAATAGAATTAAATTACATTTAAAAACCAAGCCATGCAGTGGTGGCGCACGCCTTTAATCCCAGCACTTGGGAGGCAGAGGCAGGCAGATTTCTGAGTTCGAGGCCAGCCTGGTCTACAGAGTGAGTTCCAGGACAGCCAGAGCTATAAAGAGAAACCCTGTCTCGAAAAAAAAAATAAAATAAAAATAAAAACCATATCTCCATAAGAGAATTAGTCTCTTCAAAGACTACATCCTTATTACAAAAATTCCCACCAATGCTCAAAACATTTTAGATGCAACTCCTATAGGACTTCCTCCATGTATAAAACATTCTTTTAAATTTTCAACTGTAGCAAATCTGGTCCTTTGAATGTGGAATTTGATGTCTGTAGGCTAGACATACTTTCAGAAATAAGGAGAATCTCCAACATGGATATTATTTTTTATCAAAAGTATATATTTTTTTCAAAAGCTTTTATGCTTTTTTAAGTAGTTTGTAAACCACAATTGGTCCTCTATGTCTGTGGGATTTGAATCTACTAACCACATAGTGAAACTATTTGAGGAAAAAAATATTCAGAACGCATATATGTAGATGTCCTTCCTACCCAGGCCCTGAACAATACAACTACTTACATAGTGTACATTGATTTAGATGTTATAAATAATCCAGAGGTGATTTAGCATATGCAGGAGCATGTGCAGACATTATATGCAAATCCTATGCCATTTCATGGAAGGGCCTCATCTGCAGATTTGAGCATCTTCAAATGGTTCTAGAACTGACGGATGACCGTACTCTTAAAGATCATTCTCCAGAAATGTTCCAAAACCCACTTCAAAGAATTGTAGATGTGGAATGAATAGACAACTTCATTATTTTCTTGAAAGCCCATTTCTCTTTTTATGGCATCTACGATGCTGTGTGTGCAATTAATCAACTGGATATCAGCCAAATCCAATCCGTTCTCTCATGTCATACACTCATGAGATGTTAATATGTGGTAAGCACTAAAGATTTATAGTAATAGTGAGCGAACACAGGACACCGTCTGCCCTCATGAAGTTTATAGTCAGATAACAAAACCAATTTACATAGAAATATAAATTATAACCAGTAAAAAAAAAATACATGGTGATGCAAAAGCCTAGGGCAGTAAGATCCAATTATTAAACGGTAAAGAAATAAAGTTGAGCTGAAACTAAATCGAAGTTAACTGGACATGCAGGACTGAGGAGAAGATGCATGGGACGAGCTGGGCAGAGGAAGATGCTACTCCGTGCAGAATGGCAGCATGCACGCAGGCTCAGCATGATATATTAGAAGGGCTGAGAGAGAGGCAATCTTTAAGCATCGAGCATTACTGACAGAGTAGTATGAGATGAAGCTGGGAAGATAATCATGGAGGCTTGCAAACATTAAGCAATGAGAATCTCCAACCAGACTCCAGTGGAAAGCAGAGACAGCAACGTCGTGAGATCCGTACTGCCAGCTGGGTTCTACCACTAAAGATGAAGATCCGATGGGAAGAGACCAGTGAAAAGGTTACCATAACAACCAGAGAGAGCAGGAAAGACAGACAGAAATGAACGGACTTGAGAGCCTCTAAGCACATGAAATTGATTTTTAAAAAAGTATGAAATATTCCATATTCAATACTTGAAGGTAACCCTTTGATCTTGCCAAACAGTGTCTTGGTCAATTGAAAACCAAACAGTAAAAATCATACAAATTTTAAGGTCAGTTTTTCAATCAGCATTCTACAACATATTTATAGTATTTCTGTATCATATTTTACATGGCAAATAAAGGCATAAAAATAGTAGAACTTAGCATCTCACTTTATGTAAACATACAAGTGGCTGAGAAACTCTGCTAGACTTTGCACATTCAACAATGCACACATTCAGAAATATTACACAATAAGTATTTCTTCCATGCACAAAAGCATTTATTAAAAATGCAAAACAAATCAAGCAAAAGGGAACCGCTCTGTTTCCATACTTCATTTCTCTTTTATTGCTGGGTCCATAAGCTGGGTGATTTTTATAATTCTGAAACTATAGCACAGCTGAGATCTAATAATCACCACCAAGTTTCATAATAAGCTGTTTAGTGGCAACTACAATGCCCACAAAGCCTGCGAAAATTTAGATCTAAACCTTGACCCATTAGAGAAAACTCTTTTTCATATCTCTAACCCTTTGATATGCCATCTCCAGTTCACACCCTCCAGAAAATACAGCTTTCCCATAGATCCAGCTTCTCTGTAAGTCTGGGTCACAGAGTCAGCAATGATTGTCAAGTAAAAATTACAGGAAGTCATTATTTTGAATTAAGCTCCTGTATAGACTAAGCTAAAAACCAAAATGGAGTCACTTAGATTGTAGCTCTCAGTCACTAAGCTTGGCCAGGGCTGTTTGACCATCCAACAAAACAGGATTAGAGATTAACACTCTAATCTCCCAAATGGGCCAGTTTCAAATGGTATGATAATGAATTTCCTTTGGTTTTAATCCTTAGGCAAAAGATGGAACCTGCAATAACTGGTACAAACTGACCAGTTCTCTGCTCTGTTTCTGCTTCAGGGAAAGAAACCTTGACATGAACAGTCGATTTTATTCTGTTCCCGCTTTTCCTTAAGTTCTTTTCTTCTCTGAAACCAATCTCCCTTCCCTGGACAATCAAACACATTCTATTTTATAGAATAAAGGATGATCAGTTGCTCAGTTCTAGAGTTGAAGATAAAGCTGATTCAAGGATGATAAGTATCACATGCTCTCATTCATATGGGAAAGCTAAATAAATAAATAAATAAATAAATAAATAAATGGTTGATCTCACAAAAGACAGTAGAATTGTGATTACCAGAGAACAGGAAGGACGGGGCAACTAGATGGAGACATGTCTGGTACCAAAATATAGTTGGGTATGAGGAATAAGTAGACGTCTATAGCAACGCAAGGTAGCTAGAGTTTACAATTTATTATATGTTTTATAAGGAACTGGAAAAAAGAGTTCAAAGACTTCCTTACACAAAAACATGGTTGAGAAATGTTTAACATGAAAATGCTAACTATCCTGATATAATCACACACTTTATACATTCATGTATTCCCAGAACTTAAAAAGCTGACATGGAAAGATTTTGAGTTAAAGTCTAGCCTGGGCTACATAGCAAGCCCTGTCTCTAATTAATTAATTGACTAGTTAGTTAGATAAAAAGAAATCCAATTAAGATCATTAACTGAAATTATTGCAACTTTATTCTTTGACAGAAAATAGTAAATTCAAAATGTAGTCAACCATACAGAGTTTAAACCAAGACTCTTTAGACAAAGGTATCTCTGAAATTAAGGAGTTTATTGAGTTAACAGGAGTGAGCCAAAATAGCAACTGGAAACAAGTGCAGCAGATCTAAAAGCTAGGAGTCACTTTATCATCAGAACTGGAGGGAGGGAAGCATAAACTGTTTACATTGAACCTGCACCGGCTACACAAATGAGGGGCAGGGTAAAGTGAGTTGAAGATGGTGGGGGTGGGGCTTGATGACAATTCTTATGGAGTACTGCTACTTCTGAGACGGTTGAGGTCCATAGTATGGATAGTTTATATGTACACAAGGTGCAGTGGCACCTACAGGTCCACTGTGCTGGTATTGTATGAAGACTTCAACATATCCTCAAGGGCAAGCCCCACCATGCTGGCTGACTAACTTCCCTTATCCCCTGTCCCCATCCTTTAGATCTTATATTTAAACTTTGGTTCACTCAGAATGTCTTTCTTAAGACTGCATAAACTCATACAAAGCAATGTGTACAGCAGCTCAACAAGAACAAAGGGAAACGGGACTGTTACTGATCTCACATGAATGCAAATAGACTATCTACATTCTAATTCTTGAAACAAAAACAAAACAAAATCTCTAATGTTGAGATTTTCCAACCACAGTTATAACACTCACAAAATGGAGTTTTTTATTTGAAAGAAATTCAATATGAAAATTACCAAGAAAAGCACATAAGACCATAGAAAGTCAATAACTTCTTTTTTTGTTTTTACTGTTATATTTTTGGGTTTATTCTCTATTCTTGAAGGCATTGTTAAGATTATCACATTCTACCTACACATCTGTATGTACCCATGTGAATGTAGGCACGTGTCCTGTGCTGAGCTGGTGGAGGTGAGAGGAAAACCCCAGGCTCTATCCTTACTTTTTACTTTGCTTGGTAACAGGTCTCTTTTTACCATTCAGTTGTGAATAATGGCTGCTTAGTCCAATGTCTTCCAGGGATTCTGTCTACATCTACCAATATCATCATAGGCACAGGGATCTTAAATACACACTGCCATGCCTGACTAACATTTATCCTGAAGATGCAAACTCAGGTCCTCACACTTACACAGCAAGTACTGAACAATTTCCCCAGCCTTTCTGTTTTAGAGGAACAAATATTACCAGGAATGATGGCATGTGCCTGTAATCCCAGCACTTAAAGGATCAGAAGTTCAAAAGATGAACATATCTATTTTATTCTTCAGGATAAAAGTAGTTACTCCATCAAATACTTTGATCTTTTTCAAATTAACTATTAGCTTCTACAAAGTAAACCCATTTTTTTCTGCTTAATACAAAAATGCTGTCTCTTAAGACTATGATCCACTTTACAAGTGCTGATTTTCTCACCAAAATGTTACATTGCTAGCATTTTTTTATTCAAAATAACACCTAATATTTGATTCTTATTAACATTTTTTTAATTTTTTTGGTTTGGTGGTTTTGTTTTGGTTTTTGGAGACAGGGTTTCTCTGGGTAGCCCTGGCTGTCCTGAAACTCACTATGTAGACAAGACTGGCCTTGAACTCATAGAGATGATACACCTGCTTCTGGTTCCCAAGGGCTGGAATTAAAGGCATGCGCCACCACTGCTCAGCTTTTGTTTTTTGAAATTTTAGGACAAAACTGGGAAGGCTACATTTTCAAAGTTAGGACTCTGCTACATATTCAAAGTTAGAGAAACCACAAACATTTACTAAAATTAGGATCTAGACCCAACTGGAATGTTTATGTCACAAAATCCCTTATGATATTTTTTATAGTAAAGATACTGATTTATATTGTTCTACAAATACATGTCATCAATTTATTTTGATTTAATTAATCATATTCTGTGAACTGGGCTTAGGGTTATTTTAAAATGTTGAGAGTTTATTTTTGTAATCCAACAACTTTATCCAAAAATGCAGAAAATTTTTCTGGCTGGCCAGGAGGATAATATCTCAGCATTGATAAATCCATTGACTGTAACAGGCCAGGCAGCGTGCTGCAGGTACAGTAGAAGAGATGGCCTTCTTTGTGCAGCTGCTTTGCCAGTTCAAATTGATGATTGTTCATTAACTTTTCATTTACAACTACCACAAGTGGCTTGCCTTTTTCCAGACTCTCCAAACAGCTTCCTGCACCTGCGTGGCTAATAACAAGATCGGCTTGCTGGAGGTCTTCTTTCAACGACTCCTTATACCTGTAAACATCCAGAGTGAATGACTCAGTACTGAATGGTTCAGGCACCACAGTGCCTCTACCAATTTGGAGGACCAGTTGGTTGTAACCCAGACTCTTGAGTATCTGAATGCTATCCTTGGCAACCATATGATCGACGAGGTCGTCAAAACTGGTGGTCCCCACGGTCACAAACACTCTCTTCATTGGGCTGGTTCCAGATATAATATGACTTCTAAAGGCAAAATGCACTTTTAAACATGATGCTTTTGGTAATCTAAGTCTCAATCTAGGCATTATTTAAAGAAATGTAAATACATATGAATTTCTGTTATCCTCCCCTCAAGCCCCCCCAAAAAACACTAAGGCACTAAAGCATGTGTGAAATAAGCTAGCGTTTAGCCATACCATCTGGCCCATTATCATGATTTATAACATGTATGCTTAAGCCTGCATTAATCATGCAGTGATATTTTTCTAAAACCCCACTATACTTCTGATCTGCCACAATCACTTTGGTAGAAAGGCTGTACTCTATGTAGTGTGATTATATTCAAATCCTACCTTGAAATCTTTCCAACATGAGTGAGGAAGGAAAATTACAAAATTCTTAGCAGTTTTGATTTTGACAAAAACAAGTTAACTAGACTGAGACTAGGGCTTAAAATCTCAAGGCTTCTACCACTGTGGACCTACACAGAAGACTAATCTACAGAAAACCTGAACCACTGCTGAGCTGCCCCAGGGGACATGCTAGCTATGCCAAGGAAAGGTTCGCCTGGACATCTCATGATCGCATTAAAACAGCTGAAATACATGTCGCTCCCTAAAATAAAAATGTTCACCTGATCACAATTTTATACACTGAACAAAGATATTTCAACAAGAATTCAAATATAACCATGCCACATTGTACATGCACCACTTTTTAACAAATTTAGAAGAAGAAAAATGGAGATTAGCTAAACCCTAGATCATTTATAATTTCTGAACTCCAAGTGAAGGGATTTTTATTAATCCTTTACTTTTTAGAAGGGTATGCACACATGCACACATACGCACACAAAGTACTTCCAAAAATCTACCAAGAACTGGGAGAATTAACAATGCTATTGGAATTCTCATACCTGTCTTTTATAAACAGGAGAAATGAAGCACACACAAACTACAGAGACTAGTGTAGTGAGACCACCACCTAGCTCCCAAGTTTACAGTGCTATCTATCCTTACTCGGCCCGGGCTAATCTTCCTCCCCACTTCTCAACCTTATTAGACAGTTTTAAAGCAAATGTTCAATATCCAGTACCCGAAATAAAGCCAACTTTCTATAATTACATTTCATAATGCTGCTATCATTTCCTAAATAATATATATAGTCCACTAATTTATCTACTATCTAGTCAGAGCTTGAATTTTTCCAAATTGCCTCATAATTTTATTTTTACAACTTCATACATACTTACTCTCTTCAAACCAACAGCCAAACGCGGTTGCCGTATCTCCTATCTCATAATACTTCCTCTTCCCTCTTTCTGGCCACTGATAAAACAAACTGAGTAATGTGTCGAACAGAGACTTCCACATTCTGTATTTAAGGAATTAAATGACTGGAGAGATGGCTCAGCGGTTAAGAGCACTCATTACTCTACCAGAGGACTTGGGTTTGATTCCCAGAATCTACATGATAGCTCGCAACCAACCATCTGTAACCAGTTCTTGGGGATCTGACATCCTTTTCTGTCCCCTGGAGGACCAAGCACACACATGCTGCACAGACATACATGCAGATGAAGCACTCAGACGTATAACATAAAGGGGTTTTTTTAAAGTTTAAACTTTAAATCTCTGGATTGTTTATCATGATCCCTTTTTTTTTTTCCTGTTCTTAAAAAAAAATGAGTTTAAAAGTCTCGGTCAGAATCATATTGAGTTCTTTATCAAGAAACTTCATAGGTGCCTCTATTTCCTATTAAATCAGGAGGCATCTCATGCTCATTTCTTTCTCTTTTTGTAATGATAAGATTGATCAGTGGCCCCAAGGTTTTTTACCGGACATCAGATACAGAGTTCCCCAGGAGTCGCTGGCCTAATAGTTTCCCTGGGTTGGGAGGAGGAAGAGCGTTGCTGGGGAGTGATTTGTGGGGCTTAGTGACTTTAGCAGCAGCTGATGGTCATCCCCAGACCTGCTATTTCATTAGAGGTAACAAGGTGCTATTGATAATGCTACCTTTCATTTTACATTTATCAGACAGAATTCCCTTCAAAGCAGGATTTTATCTGACTCATCTTTTTGGTTCCTCTGAAGTAGGGTGTTGGGTTTTTCTTTTGTTTAGGAGGTTTGGGGTTTGGGGAGGTTTGGTTTTGTTTTTGTTTTGCATGTCTTTTGTTTTTGACTGGGATAAGGTCTTATGCGGTAGCCCAGAGTGGTCTAAAATTTATGGCAATCCTCTTGCCTCAGCTTCCCAAATGAGCTACCACACCCAGCTAGAGGTTTCTGTTATTTATTTTGTATTGTTTGTTTGCTTGTTTACCAAGAAGGGAAGATGGCACCTGGTCTACAGCTTCACAGTATTTAGCATCTAAGATAGTTCCAAGACGTATATCTGCCCCTTGCTTACTAAAATGACTTCATCTGCAGTCAGTGAGCACAACTTCTCAACACACTTTTGATATAACCCTTTGGGTAATATTTTAATTAGTTGGCCTGCAACATAAAACATATATTAAACAATAAAAGTCTGGATCCAGTATGACTATGATGCTTCATTAACAGTCTCTGGGTTTCTATCCTATCATGTTGCGGGGAACTCTTGAAGCAAACCCTTGAAATCATCCACTCTGTTCCTCCCCTGTCCTGTTTGACTAACAAAACCATCTTCTTCTGCACCTGTGCCCTTTGCTCGGCAGTCCTCATCCTCTACATCCTACTCCACCCTCTCCTAGCAAATAGCTCAAGCTCCATTTCCCCCCTCAGGAGCTAATATGCTCTGGACTCTTGCTGTCCAACTTCCCTCTTTTCTCCTGAGATTGAACAATCTTTCTTTTCAAATCCAGCTCCTCTTCCCTGGCCCATTAGAATTTCTAGACAAGTCTGACATTACTGGGTAATCTCTGCCCCCTAAGCACAGGACAGGAGCTAACACTAAAGCAAGGGGAACAAGAACCATTCCTGAGATGACTGAGAATCCAGAAGGTCGAGTCCTCTTCCTAGGTGATTTCTGGCTTCCTATAGTCATATCCTGTGCCATGTGAAAAAAGCAAATGTGAAGAGGGGTAGAGATGGGAGGCAGAGAGTATATGTAGTACAGGACTGTGCGACGGCTTGGGTTTCTCTGAGAAAATATATGTAGTACAGAACTGTCCAGCTAAGGTTCCTGAGATCCAACTCATCTCTCTCACACTTTTGTCCTATGAACCAGTGACTGCCCCTCAACAACACGAGATGACAGGAGTCCTAATATAGCCCCCACCATGAGTCTGAAGACTGTGACCATCTTTCCAGTTTCTTTTGTCTGGTTTCCTGTGTGTTAGATATGAATTTGTCACTGTCTGCAGTAGCTCTGCAGACATAGCTTATTCATCTATTGAACTACTTTCAGAGTCCTTGGAAAAGTGCTAGACAGATCTTTAGCACATAAGTAGCAATAGCATGTGTTAATGATTCCTCTGTATGTAACTGAGCATTTATATACATATGCTATGTTATTTAAACCCCATAGAAACTTCCCAAGCTGGCATTATTACCTCCTTTCTCCCATGCCCCTTTTGTGGTGCTGGGGTTCAAACTCAGTGCCTTGCTCTTGCTAGGCAAGGACTCTACTCATGATCCTCCTGCCTCAGCCTCAATAGCTAAGATTACAGATATATGCCATTGCATTTTATAGATAAGTCTCCGTTTTGTACATGAATAAGAAAAAAAAAAAAAAAAACTTGGGCAGTGGTAGCACATACCTTTAATCCCAGCACTTGGGAGGTAGAGGCAGGCGGATTTCTGAGTTCAAGGCCAGCTTGATCTACAGAGTAAGTTCCAGGACATCCAGGGCTACACAGAGAAACCCTGTCTCAAAAAAACAAACAAACAAAAAAAACTTATCCATTTACTAATTAGTAGATGGTATGCTAATTAATAAAAAGATTGAGGATTTGAACTATATTCACATTCAAACTGCATCCTCTTTCCATTACACTCACATAGCCTCACATACTACTGCTAATTAACTTACCAGAAGGCATAACTAGTCAAAGACAACCACCTAGCAAGTTGATTTCCACTGACCCCAAAGTATATGTTCTTCCATCATTAAAAAATATTAATAAGCTAATGCATAAATAAATGAGCTATGTGAAAATAGGTCTCTTGAAAAAGTTATAATACGATTTCTTCAGAATTGCTGCTGGCAACCTGAAGACTAAATGCTGGCACTTCTCTTAAAGTAATGGCTAAAAGGGATGAATATTTAAGATCACTCTGTCAGAACAAGTTGTATACAACTCCCCTGGCAGTGATATTTCAAAACGGCAAAAAGAGATTTGTGAGCACCTGTCAATGTACGGCACGCCTACAGCTCTCCACTTGCTCAGAGGAATACCCCTGTGTCATCCGTACAGGCTAATCGTTATTGAGCACTCCCGTGGCTTGGAGGCAAGAAGAGGAGGCCTTTAGGAAGAAAACAGCTTCCCCTTCAGAGGAAAACCAAGAAGGGCAAGGACATCAGGGAAGACAATTTATTGGCAAAGAACCTGAAAGTCACTAGTTCTCATCCCCACTCAGTCCTATCCTTCCGCTCACATGGCCTCTTCAGATCCTGGCCTGTAATTCCAGGAGGGAGCTCATGGTAACAAAGTGACCTGTGGAACAATGAGCTAAGGGACTGCCATTACAAAGCATCCCTAAATGTCTGTTGGTGGTCTTTCTTCCCTTCCTTTCTCATTTTCCTCACTTTACTTGAAGACCTTCCTACCATAAAGCCAATGCCATACATCACACTCTCAGAGGGAGTTGATGACTGCTCCTACAAGGCAAGAAAATGTCAAAGAGGCACACTACTACATTGATTTGGTTACAGCAAGCATCAAGCAGATTCAATGGTAGAGGAATCCCTCTACCATCTACCTTTTGATGGCAAAAGGGTCTGCTAACTTGAAGGTTTTGATTGCAGGCAGGCCATATAAAGAATCTAATCACCACTGCAGACTCAATAAATACCTCAGGTAAGATCATACATGTGAAAGTAC